CAAATCCAAAAATCAAAACTTAAAAATGTTATATACTTTTTAAGTAATTTAAGATTTTCAAAAACTACCGTTCCCTACCGGTGCTTTGAGAATTGAGTAAAAGTCGTCACATCAGTGTGTTTGTGCAATAAAACCATAGTTGCAAAAAATTTTGTTTTAATCTAGCTCTATTCTAAGTATTTTAAAATTTAATAAAACGAGTAAACACGATTATGGCGAAGATTTTATGATGCGATTATAATTGCGTGCAAAACATTATGGCCTGAAGGTATACCTTATGAACGAGTGGTATTGTGTGTGACAGATCAGGCATCAGCTATGAAAACTGCCGTTGAAATGGCTAAAAATGTATTCCCAAATATGTTACACGTGACCTGCATCGCTCATTCAATTAATAGAGTTTGTTTAAAAGTGAGAGAAAATCACACTGGCTGAAAATTTCATTGCAAATATGAAAAAACTGTACTAATTCACCCAAAAGGAAGAATGAATTTAGAACCACAAGTGATATACCGTTACCTCCGAGACCTTGTATCATTAGATGGGGTACCTGGTTGGAGGCAGCCTTTTATTATTGTAAACACTTCGATAAAATATGTGAATTTATTAATAATATGTCAACTAATAATAATAATACAATAATTGCACTTAAAGAGCAAATCCGTGAACCAAACCTAAGCCAACTTAAGACAGGATGTCTTAAAATTTGAAATGTTAACCAAAGCTATAAAAGCTCTACGACAACGAGATATGACAGTTGCTGAACAAATGAAAATTATTAATTATTTAAAACCAAATTTAAAATCTTACAGCAAATTAAAATTAACTTCAAGTTTAGCAAAGAACCCGGATATAACCAAATTTGACACAAAATATGAGTCTTAATAATTGCGCCAATTTAACCACAGTAGAGGTGGAGCGCTCGTTTTCGGCACTAAATGATATGCACACCGATAAAAGAACTAATTTTTCATCTGAAAATATTGCAAGATTTTTATTTGTAAAATTTAATAACTGACTAAAATATGAATAAAATGTTTTATATTTACAATAGAATATTTTATAATGTACTTTTGTCCATTACTTTACTTCTCTATTAAGGGTTTGTCTATCAATTTTATGCAGTGATTCTGGGTCTCTGATCCGATGTCCATGATTTATGCCAATTGAAATTGCTCAGGATACATAACAGGTCATAAATCTGATGTTTAGAGCACAGCACTAATTGGTGGTGAAGTATTTGATGTAACCATGGCACTTATTAATCCTTCAATGCTTAATTTATAAAATTACAATATAAATGTGTTATTATTAATAAATAAATATTTTATTCATATAACTATAGTTCACTTAAATATTCCTTGAATAATGTAATACTAAACTCATAAATGTCTACATTATATAAACTTATGTCCAATTGTCACCAAATGGACACATCGTATAGAATGTGATCACGTGTTCATTCCATATAACGAGTGGTCTATCGATAGGAATATTCTGATGAATGACAGAGAATTTGACGAAACATTAAATAGACTGAAATCATATGAAAACACATTTTTCTATAAATTCTTGACAACAAATAAGAATAAATTCAAAATACAAAAGTTTACACTTATTTGTCTAAAAATTTCAACAAAAACACTAAAACATTGCAAACTATTACATGAAATGTCTTTTTAATCATTAAATAAAAACTTTTTTAACAGAAAATTCAATTTACTTTTCAAAGGAGAACAGGAGTTGAGTATTAAGAAATGTATAGGTGATAGGGATCACTCGGTAACGACTGAATCCCCGACTTATTTAGATATTGAGCGGACAGTCAGGTCCTCATCGATGATGAACTGCTGTCCCAATAGTACTGTCATATCCAATTCAGTCCTCATCCCTGTCCTCCCAGCCCTCCCTGTGTTATAATAATATCTTATAATTTATATAATCTCTGAATACAAAGATTAAGCAGAAGAAACTCATATCTTAAAAACAATATGAAATGAGTCTTGCAAAAAAATATTTAATCATATTATTAATATTGCTTACATGTAAAAATAAGATTAAAGATATTTTTCCGAGACTCATATCGTATTGCTTTCTCAAATGTATAATGAATTGGCATTTAAGACATATTAAGACAATATGAGTGAATTGATTGCTTATCTGTTGCTATAATAACACAATCTATTTGTGAACAACAATTGCATTCATTTATTACAATACTCTTCAGTAAACTAATAATAAAATTAGTTTTAAATATAAATTATTTAATAAACAATTTTTAATAATATATCAATAATTTAATAATTTTTAATAATAATAATAATATATCATTAAACAATAAAATATTGTATAAAAATATACATTTATTGAGCTATTTTATATGATTCTTAACAAAATTTAAAAACTTCATAATTATAATAATTTCTTATAAATTAATATAAAATGAAGTCTTTTTAATTCAAATTCAATTTTGTTTAAATTTGAAAATGTACTTAATTTTAGAGAAGTTTAAAATTTGTGATAAAATCGACTCAAATATTAAAAATAAAATAATATTATTTCACGTTTTTAAGAATAAAATTGCCTGGTGTATATTTCATAATATATTATTCGTAACCACCGATGATATGGTGTATGGATTGGGAGATAATAATAATGGATGTCTTGGTTTGGGTCACGACGAGTCCATACAATCACCACAAGTTATACCAGAATTATGTCATCAAAACATTCAGACATTTATTAGTGGATCAAACTTTGTGTTGGCTATGAATGGTGAGAACCATATCTATAGTTGGGGTGACAATAGTGACGGACAGTTGGGTAGAGATGTGACACTATTTGGGGTTTATTTAAAAGCCGAGAGAATATCGTATTTCGACGACAAAGATGTCCAACAAATCAGTTGTGGTTCCCATCACTCATTGGCCCTCACATCCAATGGGCAGGTGTATGGGTGGGGATGTAATAGTATGGGAGAGATTGGTTGTGGAGAACAACAAAATGATAAGATTAGTGAACCAATTCTAATACAATTCGCAAATAATCCCAAAATTCAATCAATTTATTGCAATTATAATTATTCATTTGCCATCACTTCTAAGGGACTTGTGTTCAGTTGGGGTGACAATAGATACCATCAAATGGGACACAATATAATGAATGAATGTATATTTAGTCCGAAACTCATAACTACCATAAATGACATCAAAACTATTACTCTATCCAAATATATGACTTATTTTCTATCAAACAATGGTTTCATATATTTTTGTGGACAATATTATTCAAGTGCTAAACGTATTACTGTAGAGATACCAGAACAATTACAATCCAACAATCATTGTATGGATTTGCCACAAATTGACTCGTATTGTGGTTTTCATATAGAATTCATTGTTATGTTAACAAACAGCAAGTTATATAAAATAAGAACAAATAAATTAATTGAAACAATATATAATAATTTTATTGATTTCTACGCTAATAAATACCAAATCACATATAAAACATTGAAATATGGCATTGAAATTGATTATAAAAGACTTTTCAATGAATGTTATGATAAAACATTTGATGAGTTATCGGTCATAGGATCGGGTGGTTTTGGGACAGTATTTCGTGTGAAACACAAATTTGATGGACAGGTGTTTGCCGTCAAAAGAATTGAATTTAATGGTAATTTACTTTATTTTAAAACTAATCAGTGAATCAAACAATAAAATCAATAAAATTTTTAGTGAATCATAAAACCTATATTTTACACAGATTTTGATGAAAAAGAAACTAAAAATGTGTTGAAAGAAGTGAAAAACTTGAAAAAAGTTAAGTCTGAATATGTGGTCAAATATTATGGCTCATGGCGTGAACCGAAGTCTCTTTACATTCAGATGGAGTTCTGTTCCCATAGTCTGAAGAATATTCTTGAAGTCAGACATAAAATATTTGAAAGACAATCAGGAGATCCAATGAATTTATACGAGTATTTCATTTCATGTGAAATATTCCGACAGATCTTAGAAAGCGTTCAATATTTACATGAATTTTCATTCACAGAGACCTCAAACCCGACAATATATTGATTGCACAAAATGTAAGGAACGGCAGGTTTTTGAAGTTATGTGACTTCGGTTTGGCTACAGTTCACGACAAACGCATTCACTACAGGACTACGCAAAAACATACGGCAGATATCGGGGACTTGAGATATCAGGCTCCGGAAATTGGTCAGGGTAAGAAATACGGTCATAAATCAGATATCTATAGCCTAACACTAATCGGTGGTGAGTTATTTGAAGTGGATGTTGCACTTATTGATCCACAAAGGTAGTTATAGATAATTCAGTATTATTATAATAAATACTTTAAGGTTAAATATGTTAATAAAAATACTTTTTGTAATCTAGCTCAAAATCACTTTTACCAAATAAAATTCTTCATTCACCATTGTCCAAATTATACAAACAATTATCGGCAATGATCTTGCCCAACTGGACTAAACGTCCGGAATGTAGTGAAGTGTTACACAAATATAACGAGTGGTCTATCGATAGGAATATTATCACAAATCACACGGAATTCAAGCCAACATTAAATAGATTGAAATCCAATAATAACCCATTTTTCTATCAATTCTTATCAACTGTTATCACATAAGATGTCACACCGCTTTCATTGACAAAAAGTTTACGAAAAATTTAAAATTATTTTTAAAATATTTTATTGAAAGTAATATAAAGTATTTAATAAATTGTTACATAAATTATCTCATAATCTAGAAAATAGTTCATAACTCTTGATAATAACGGTATTAAATGAATTTATATTATGTTAAAACAAAATTATTAAATATTTTATTTTATAAACAAGTTTTTTATGTTTGAGATAAATTCCAAACAATCCGGATTAATTATCATTAAATAGTTAACTTATTTTCGTATTACATTATCAGTATAAATATATTTTGTCACAATAAATCTATAATAAAAATATTTTATTTAAAACGTTGCTATCATATGAATTACCAAAAAAGTTTCTTAATGTCTGAGAAAAATGTGAAACAAGTCATCGAAAATCGCCGACAATTAGATAATTGTCACAATTTATCACATTTTTCTATCAATTCTTGACAACAGTTATCACACGATATGTGACACCACTTTCATTGACACAAAAACTACGAAAAAGCTTAAAATTATTTTAAACACAAATGAAATTTAATATTCAGTATTAACTAAATCGTTACATACATTATTATTATATTCAACCCATAATCCATTGCTCATAATATGAATTATGTTAAATTCCTATAATTATTAACTATTAGGTGAAACAGTCCGTGGAATTTTTATCTTATCTTCTCATTTCAAAATGTTGAGTCAGATGGACCTTGTGGTTGTTCAGTGATATCGGTTCGCTTTCCATCCCTAAAATCACCATACCATT